TTGTCACAGGTCGGCTAGAACTATGAGGTGAGTGAAAAGCACTCGCCTCATAATTCTCCTTTTTTAAGAGCATGGGAATCTCCTGACTTCCAATGTTGGTGAGGATCCAAAGCAAAGATCTAGAAGATACTTCTCAAAATTGAACTCAAGGTGGAGGTTTTGTTTCTTTAACTGGGTGCGACGAAGAAGACCGAAGAACCCTGGGAACATTGTTGACTCGCTGATGGTAAGCTGGTGGGAGGTGGTCTTCCGTTACCCTTATTTGTATCTAGTTCTCTGAGGCAGCAAACTGGGTTACGAGGGGAGACAAGTGGAAGGCCAAATAACTTGGGCCGGATTTGTGGGAGGAGATGCGCCGGCTCCCCTGCCCATAAGAGGAGAGGTGGGGCGGGGCCCCTTATTTGGCATACTGACCGAAAAAAATCATGCTACACCTCAGGTTTATATCAGCAGGTCTCACGAAGACTTCGGGGCCATGAGTAACTCCGACCACAAGTTCCACATACCACGCACAACCCTAAACTACCTACGAGGCTTTTATAGGACACCAAGAGAACACAAGAACCCAATGACCTTCAGTTTGGGGTTGATGTTTGGAGAAAGGGCCTCCCTTCCTTTATGAACCCTAACGCTGAAATCTCATTTAACGCTTTCACTTGTCAATGTAACTTGAAAGGTCAGTTTCAGTATTTCGGGACAGGAACCTCCCTCCAGAGCTCTGTCCCCGTCCCCGAAATGCCGACCTTCATTGCGTCTCTATCTCAGGCTCTGGAGAACATTTCAATGCACATTACGTGGACATGGTCAACTGTTGCCACCATCAGGAACCCCTCCCTGAGAAGTGCTGTGCAGCCATTTGAGGGTTGTGCATAGACAGGAAGTGACTTCAGGAGATCACTAGCACCGAGATGCAACAAAGGATTAAAAATAAAGTGAAAAGTATTTTATTTCAAAAGAAAAGGTAATTTTTTTTTGATACTCCGTGCTGGAACCAATCAAATGTCGGCTAAGGTTTCATCTACCCAATGGACCCACCAAACTCTCTTAGAAATCGAAATATTAAATGCAGTTTAAATAAGGCGACTGAACATCAATAATAAGTAATAAAGTGAAAAATATAATTGTACCAAAAGGGATTATAACAAATTTAAATAAATAAGTCCGACGTTCAGATTTATTATTTATAGGGGGAAATTTATCAAAACTGTACAATTTGTCTGCTGAAGTTTTGATAAATTTCCCTCATTATCATTCTGTTTTTTCCTTCTTTAAATTTTAACTGAAATATAATCTCCATAACTAATGCAACGCGAGGGAGATGTTAAAGCACCGAAAATGTAAGATGTAGATTTTATTTTCACCACAAGGTGGTGATCTCATATATTGTCAGTGGAACACAGACAGGAAGTGATGTAAGGTGCTTACAGGAAGTTCTGGGTGAGAGGTCAGTTAGGAGACATTGCTGGAACTGGCAGCAGAGAAGGTAAGAAGATATTTTATAATTACACCCAGTAACCCTCCTCCCCTCCGTCATGTGCGTCCTCCATATTCAATTTCATGCCTCTTATCTCAAGAAGTGAGAAATATGTTTTGAGGGATTTAAAACCATTTATCCAACTGTCCATCCAGAGCCGCCATTTATAGACCAGATACATCCTAAATATAGAACCATTTATCCAACTGTCCCTCCAGAGCCGCCATTTATAGACCGGATACATCCTAAATATAGAGCCATTTATCCAACTGTCCATCCAGATCCGCCATTTATAGACCCGATACATCCTAAATATAGAGCCATTTATCCAACTGTCCATCCAGAGCCGCCATTTATAGACCAGATACATCCTAAATTTAGAGCCATTTATCCAACCGTCCATCCACTAGTGTGTGTTTCAATGTTCTCTGATGGCTTCTTGAGCAGTGTAGGGCTTCCTCATAGTAACAATGAGATGTTCAGGTATACCCATTTTCCATAGGACATTCCATCATTTCACAAGATTGATACAGTCAATGGCTTCTGATGCGACGTTATCAATTCCCGTCACCCTTCTTTTCGGCAGTGACCTCAATGTCAGTATGGATTCATCTTCCATCACTGAAGGCTCTTCTATGGATCCAGTTTCTGCCGGTTTGGTTATTAATATCTTTGCCGTAAAGGTCTTCGGTGTACTCCATCCATCTTTCCTTGACCTCAGCTTCTTCTTTCTAAGCCTAAGGGTTTCTTTTTTTCCAGTTGTGGATAATATTGGGGAGGTTTTGAGGCCTTTGTCAGAGGTTTTGTGTCTATATTTCTTCTGACCATCTCGTTATATTAGACCTTTGTCACCTGGACCAGAAATTGAGGGAAATCTTCCCAACCGGGATAAAGAAAATTGATTTGCTTTTACGGTCTATCTTTTCTCCACGTTTATCCGAACCTAACACCAAACCGTTTTGACCACAGGAGAGTTTTAACAGTTACCTCTCATTTTTCTTCAGCTACAATGATAAATAAGACCTTCGATAAAGGATGAGGAGCAATCTGAGGTGTCAGAACTATGGAGGGACTCTGTGTAGACATCATCCATCCAAGTACAATCTAGATCATTCTCAGTTTATTATCCGTCTGCAGGGAGGAGAGTCCTATATGGATCACATGACCACCTTAGTGAGGATGGAGGAGGACCAAAGTCGTGTGACTGAGAGAATATTGAACCTCACCCTGGACATCACCTTCCTGCTGACCCGAGAGGTGAGGAGCATTCTGGGAGGTCACATGACATCACTCTTATCTTTAATAATAAAACACAGACCGCACCCGAGAGGTGAGGAGGATTCTGGGAAGTCTGTAGTGATAATTGTTACTGTCTGATTTTACTCAGGATTATAAAGTAGTGAAGAAAACATCTGGTGAGCCATTAACGCCCAGCAGATGTCTTCATGGACCCTCGCCCGTCACAGAGCCTCCACCTCGCCGCCTGACAACAGAGGTAAACATTGCCAAGAAGATTCTAGAAGTCACCGAGGAGATCGTTGAGCTGCTGACGGGAGAGGTGAGCGGTGCCGGGAATTCTGGGACATGATCCAGGAACAGACAAGGGGTGTGTCTGGGTGGTGACTGTATCATTGTGTGTGTCAGGTTCCTATAAGGTGTCAGGATGTCTCCGTCTATTTCTCCATGGAGGAGTGGGAGTATCTAGAAGGACACCGAGATCTCTACAAGGACGTCGTGATGGAGGATCAGCAGCTTCCTAGTTGCGGTAAAATGGGAAACAATAGTTTTCTCTCAAATAAGATAATACTCAATCACACCCTGGAGATCATCTACCTGCTGACTGGAGAGGTGAGGAGCATTCTGGGAAAATCACATGACATCTAACACTTATAATACAACCCAAACTTGATAAAAGAGGTGATGAGGACTCTGACATTATGTTTGCTGTTGTATAACACAGGACTGTGCTGTGGTTAAGAAGACATCTACTGAAGATAGTGTTGAAAGGAGAGGTCATCACTTGTCCACAAGAGAAAGACCCATCACTGTGCGTCCACCTCCATTCCTGACACTTGAGAGGAACAACAAGCAAAAAGTTCTAGAAGTCACCCAGAAGATCATCGAGCTGCTGACGGGAGAGGTGAGCTGTGCCGGGAATTCTGGGACATGATCCAGGAACAGACAAGGGGCGTGTCTGGGTGGTGACTGTATCATTGTGTGTGTCAGGTTCCTATAAGGTGTCAGGATGTCTCCGTCTATTTCTCCACGGAGGAGTGGGAGTATCTAGAAGGACACCGGGATCTCTACAAGGACGTGGTGATGGAGAATGAGCCGCCCCTCACATCACCGGGTAAGAGGAGAGAGCAGTACGGAGGGTCCACCTAGATCCCCCATCATCTGATACACACATAGAAACAATGTATTCAGTCAGTGTGTGTGTTTCCTACAGATGGATCCAGTAAGAGGAACCCACCAGAGAGATGTCCCCGTCCTCTGTACTCCCGGGATTCCACACAGGAAGGTCTCACCGTGCCTCACCATGATCAGGTAGGTGGCACTGAGGATGGATGTGTCAAAAATTAGTCTAAATTGTGAGCTGATCTTCTTCTACGTCCATTCTTAGTATTTACATTTTATTTTTTGTATCCTTTTGGGGCCTAGGATGAAGGCCTGATTTATATGAAAGTTGAGGTTGAAGAGGAAGAAGAGATGTATCTGAGGGTCAATCAGCAGTCTACAGAGGAGGACTGGATGGTTTTAAAAACTAAACAGGATAATTCATCTCCTGATATTGGCACAGGTAAGTGATAAAGATAAAAAGGTCCATCTCCATTCCTCAATATAACGTCATGTGACCAACAAATGAGGAGGAGATACTGTACACCATATGAAGGTCCATCTCCATTCCTCAATATAACGTCATGTCCCCTACAAATGAGGAGGAGATACTGTACACCATATGAAGGTCCATCTCCATTCCTGAATTTAACATTCCATGTTCCATGCTTGACCAGTACACATGATTCCTGAGTGTAGATCTTTAAAAATGACTTTTTAACATTTAATTAAAAAAAATTTTCTACAGATGGGCTCTACATCAGAAATACCTCTGAGGAAGATCTCAATATAACTACTGATGGTAAAACTGAAGATAACGGGACAGCAGAATATAATCCAGCAGCAATTTCTATCACTCATAAAAGACATCACAGACCTCCCCATTCAGAGACATCAATGGATCTGTCCAATCCTGAGGAATCTTCTGATCAAGCACATGCAGATTCTCCACAAACCCATCCAAGATCTCACAGTCCAGAAAGATCAACGGATCCATCTAATCCCAAGGCATCTCCTTCAACCCATGAAGGAGTTCAGATAGAAGAACGTTCATTGTCATGTTTGGGGTGCGGGAAATCATTTAAAACAAACTCTGAACTCATGATACACCTCAGATCTCACACCAGTGTGACCTTCACGTGTTCGGAGTGTGGGGAATCGTTCACTGAGAAAAGCAAACTACTTATACACCAGAAAGGTCACAAGGCTGAAAATCCTTACTCGTGTTCGGAGTGCGGGAAAAGGTTTACTGAGAAAAGTGCACTTAATACGCACCAGAGAATTCACACAGGTGAACGCCCGTATTCGTGCCAAGAATGCGGAAAATGTTTTACTCAGAAAGCACACCTCCTTAGACACGAGAGATGTCACAAGGGTGAGCGTCCTTTTTCCTGTCCAGAGTGTGGAAAAGCTTTCACCGACAAAAGCGTACTACTTATACACCAGAGAATTCACACAGGTGAACGTCCTTTTTCATGTTCGCAGTGTGGAAGAGGTTTCACAGAGAAAAAAAAACTGATTACACACGAGAGAATTCACACGGGCGAGCGTCCTTTTCAATGTCCAGAGTGCGATAAAGCTTTTATACGAAAAAGCCAACTGGTTACCCACCAGAGAAGTCACACGGGTGAATGCCCTTTCTCCTGTTCAGAGTGCGGGAAATGTTTTCCTGAGAAGAGAAAACTACTTGCACACCAGAGAAGTCATACAGGTGAACGTCCTTATTCATGTTCAGAGTGCGGGAAAGGTTTTACACAAAAGGGGAACCTTCTTACACACCAGAGAATTCATACAGGCGAGCGTCCTTTCTCATGTTTGGACTGTGGGAAATGTTTCACTGAGAAAGGAAAACTTATGGCACACCAGAGAATTCACACAGGCGAATATCCTTTTTCATGTTCAGAGTGTGGGAAATGTTTCTCTGAAAAAGCACACCTCATTAGACATCAGAGAAGTCACACTGGCGAGCGACCTTTTTCTTGTCAAGACTGCGGAAAAAGTTTCACTCAGAAGGCCAACCTTCTTACACACCAGAGAATTCACACGGGCGAGCGTCCGTTTTCATGCTCTGAGTGTGGGAAAGCTTTCACTGAGAAAAGCGCACTTCTTGCACACCAGAGAAGACACACCGGCGAGCGTCCTTTTTCATGTTCAGAGTGCGGGAAATCATTTCCTGAAAAAAGAAGCCTTCTATATCACCAGAAAACTCACAATCGTGAGGGCCCTTTTCTGTGTTCGGAGTGCGGAAAATATTTTACACATAAAGGAAATTTAATTAGACATCAGAGTACACACACCCCACTGAAAAATGGAGACGGACCTCCCACACTCACACTGACGGCTCCATAGCACTGAACTGTGGTAATCTATGGAGGATACGGCAATATTTGGGCAACACATCGGAAACTGTGACTGAAAGTAAGCTGGCTTTTCATTGGTCCAGCCAAACTAATAATACGCTTATATTATTTATACCTGAATTAAACAAGATTGGATTTCAGTCAACATCGGGATTTATTGTGTTAACCATTTATTCTAATTTTCTAAAAATTAGTTATTTTTTCAACATATAACCATAATTCTCTGATGATCGGAATGAGCTCGGTTCATAGAGAGTCATCCATGGGTGATGGGAATGAGCTCCGTTCATAGAGAGTCCTCCATTGGTCATAGGAATGAGCTCAGTTCATAGAGAGTCATCCATGGGTGATGGGAATGAGCTCCGTTCATAGAGAGTCCTCCATTGGTCATAGGAATGAGCTCAGTTCATAGAGAGTCATCCATGGGTGATGGGAATGAGCTCCGTTCATAGAGAGTCCTCCATTGGTCATAGGAATGAGCTCAGTTCATAGAGAGTCATCCATGGGTGATGGGAATGAGCTCCGTTCATAGAGAGTCCTCCATTGGTCATAGGAATGAGCTCAGTTCATAGAGAGTCATCCATGGGTGATGGGAATGAGCTCCGTTCATAGAGAGTCCTCCATTGGTCATAGGAATGAGCTCAGTTCATAGAGAGTCATCCATGGGTGATGGGAATGAGCTCCGTTCATAGAGAGTCCTCCATTGGTCATAGGAATGAGCTCAGTTCATAGAGAGTCATCCATGGGTGATGGGAATGAGCTCCGTTCATAGAGAGTCCTCCATTGGTCATAGGAATGAGCTCAGTTCATAGAGAGTCATCCATGGGTGATGGGAATGAGCTCCGTTCATAGAGAGTCCTCCATTGGTCATAGGAATGAGCTCAGTTCATAGAGAGTCATCCATGGGTGATGGGAATGAGCTCCGTTCATAGAGAGTCCTCCATTGGTCATAGGAATGAGCTCAGTTCATAGAGAGTCATCCATGGGTGATGGGAATGAGCTCCGTTCATAGAGAGTCCTCCATTGGTCATAGGAATGAGCTCAGTTCATAGAGAGTCATCCATGGGTGATGGGAATGAGCTCCGTTCATAGAGAGTCCTCCATTGGTCATAGGAATGAGCTCAGTTCATAGAGAGTCATCCATGGGTGATGGGAATGAGCTCCGTTCATAGAGAGTCCTCCATTGGTCATAGGAATGAGCTCAGTTCATAGAGAGTCATCCATGGGTGATGGGAATGAGCTCCGTTCATAGAGAGTCCTCCATTGGTCATAGGAATGAGCTCAGTTCATAGAGAGTCATCCATGGGTGATGGGAATGAGCTCCGTTCATAGAGAGTCCTCCATTGGTCATAGGAATGAGCTCAGTTCATAGAGAGTCATCCATGGGTGATGGGAATGAGCTCCGTTCATAGAGAGTCCTCCATTGGTCATAGGAATGAGCTCAGTTCATAGAGAGTCATCCATGGGTGATGGGAATGAGCTCCGTTCATAGAGAGTCCTCCATTGGTCATAGGAATGAGCTCAGTTCATAGAGAGTCATCCATGGGTGATGGGAATGAGCTCCGTTCATAGAGAGTCCTCCATTGGTCATAGGAATGAGCTCAGTTCATAGAGAGTCATCCATGGGTGATGGGAATGAGCTCCGTTCATAGAGAGTCCTCCATTGGTCATAGGAATGAGCTCAGTTCATAGAGAGTCATCCATGGGTGATGGGAATGAGCTCCGTTCATAGAGAGTCCTCCATTGGTCATAGGAATGAGCTCAGTTCATAGAGAGTCATCCATGGGTGATGGGAATGAGCTCCGTTCATAGAGAGTCCTCCATTGGTCATAGGAATGAGCTCAGTTCATAGAGAGTCATCCATGGGTGATGGGAATGAGCTCCGTTCATAGAGAGTCCTCCATTGGTCATAGGAATGAGCTCAGTTCATAGAGAGTCATCCATGGGTGATGGGAATGAGCTCCGTTCATAGAGAGTCCTCCATTGGTCATAGGAATGAGCTCAGTTCATAGAGAGTCATCCATGGGTGATGGGAATGAGCTCCGTTCATAGAGAGTCCTCCATTGGTCATAGGAATGAGCTCAGTTCATAGAGAGTCATCCATGGGTGATGGGAATGAGCTCCGTTCATAGAGAGTCCTCCATTGGTCATAGGAATGAGCTCAGTTCATAGAGAGTCATCCATGGGTGATGGGAATGAGCTCCGTTCATAGAGAGTCCTCCATTGGTCATAGGAATGAGCTCAGTTCATAGAGAGTCATCCATGGGTGATGGGAATGAGCTCCGTTCATAGAGAGTCCTCCATTGGTCATAGGAATGAGCTCAGTTCATAGAGAGTCATCCATGGGTGATGGGAATGAGCTCCGTTCATAGAGAGTCCTCCATTGGTCATAGGAATGAGCTCAGTTCATAGAGAGTCATCCATGGGTGATGGGAATGAGCTCCGTTCATAGAGAGTCCTCCATTGGTCATAGGAATGAGCTCAGTTCATAGAGAGTCATCCATGGGTGATGGGAATGAGCTCCGTTCATAGAGAGTCCTCCATTGGTCATAGGAATGAGCTCAGTTCATAGAGAGTCATCCATGGGTGATGGGAATGAGCTCCGTTCATAGAGAGTCCTCCATTGGTCATAGGAATGAGCTCAGTTCATAGAGAGTCATCCATGGGTGATGGGAATGAGCTCCGTTCATAGAGAGTCCTCCATTGGTCATAGGAATGAGCTCAGTTCATAGAGAGTCATCCATGGGTGATGGGAATGAGCTCCGTTCATAGAGAGTCCTCCATTGGTCATAGGAATGAGCTCAGTTCATAGAGAGTCATCCATGGGTGATGGGAATGAGCTCCGTTCATAGAGAGTCCTCCATTGGTCATAGGAATGAGCTCAGTTCATAGAGAGTCATCCATGGGTGATGGGAATGAGCTCCGTTCATAGAGAGTCCTCCATTGGTCATAGGAATGAGCTCAGTTCATAGAGAGTCATCCATGGGTGATGGGAATGAGCTCCGTTCATAGAGAGTCCTCCATTGGTCATAGGAATGAGCTCAGTTCATAGAGAGTCATCCATGGGTGATGGGAATGAGCTCGGTTCATAGAGAGTCCTCCATTGGTCATAGGAATGAGCTCAGTTCATATAGACTCATCAATTGGTGATGGGAATGAGCTCGGTTCATAGAGAGTCATCCATTGGTGATGGGAATGAGCTCAGTTCATAGAGAGTCCTCCATTGGTGATGGGAATGGGCTCAGATCATAGAGAGTCATCCATTGGTTATGGGAATGAGCTCAGATCATAGAGAGTCATCCATTGGTGATGGGAATGAGCTCAGTTCATAGAGAGTCCTCCATTGGTGATGGGAATGAGCTTGGTCCATAGAGAGTCATCCATTGGTGATGGGAATGAGCTCAGTTCATAGAGAGTCCTCCATTGGTGATGGGAATGAGCTCAATTCATAGGGAGTCCTCCATTGGTGATGGGAATGAGCTCAGTTCATAGAGAGTCCTCCATTGGTGATAGGAATGAGCTCGGTTCATAGAGAGTCATCCATTGGTGATGGGAATGAGCTCAGTTCATAGAGAGTCCTCCATTGGTGATAGGAATGAGCTCGGTTCATAGAGAGTCATCCATTGGTGATCGGAATGAGCTCGGTTCATAGAGAGTCATCCATTGGTGATCGGAATGAGCTCGGATTATAGAGAGTCATCCATTGGTGATGGGAATGAGCTCGGTTCATAGAGAGTCCTCCATTGGTGATGGGAATGAGCTCGGTTCATAGAGAGTCCTCCATTGGTCATAGGAATGAGCTCAGTTCATATAGACTCATCAATTGGTGATGGGAATGAGCTCGGTTCATAGAGAGTCATCCATTGGTGATGGGAATGAGCTTGGTTCATAGAGAGTCCTCCATTGGTGATGGGAATTGGCTCAGATCATAGAGAATCATCCATTGGTGTTGGGAATGAGCTTGGTTCATAGAGAGTCATCCATTGGTGATAGGAATGAGCTCGGTTCATAGAGAGTCCTCCATTGGTGATGGGAATTAGCTCGGTTCATAGAGAGTCCTCCTTTGTTGATGGGAATGAGCTCGGTTCATAGAGAGTCATCCATTGGTGATGGGAATGAGCTCGGTTCATAGAGAGTCCTCCATTGGTGATGGGAATGAGCTCGGTTCATAGAGAGTCATCCATTGGTGATGGGAATGAGCTCGGTTCATAGAGAGTCATCCATTGGTGATTGGAATGAGCTCGGATTATAGAGAGTCATCCATTGGTGATGGGAATGAGCTCGGTTCATAGAGAGTCCTCCATTGGTGATGGGAATGAGCTCAGTTCATAGAGAGTCCTCCATTGGTGATGGGAATGAGCTTGGTTCATAGAGAGTCCTCCATTGGTGATGGGAATGAGCTCGGTTCATAGAGAGTCATCCATTGGTATTTTAATAGTGAAATGGAGAGTTCAGAAGGTCCAGTTTCATATTCGAAGGATACATGAAGCTACTGCAAATGTCACCTAGAATATTCTCATTGCTTCCATCTTGGTGCTCCTCCTCATAGCCACAGTGATGGTCTCCATAATTTCACAGTCATTATCTTTATCAGTGATATGGAGGTCACCATCGTCTTTAGTGGTTTACAGACTACGCCAATGTCATACGACCAGTCCTGTCATTGTCACGTAGATGTGGGGAGTCTGCTGCTCCACATTTAACCCAAGATGGAGGTTTTTCAGTACCGACCCAGTGTGAGACAAAGTAGGCCGAAGATCTTTGGAATGGTTGTTGATTTTGTAGTATTGGTGAAAGGTGATCTTTACGTACTCATAGATATATAGATAGCTGATTATTATACCAGCGGCAAATGTAACGATGGAGGACAAATTCTGCACATACACAATTCCCAGATGCCGAAAACACTTTAAGGAACCTGGAAAACAGAAGAGTCCGATGTTCTTCAGCACAGGGCTGGTTTTTCGAGAGAGAGGAGACTCCTCCCCACCCTTTTTTTTGCG